CCGACGGGCAATGGAGAATTACCATACATAGCAATGATCCATTATACGGTGCGATCAATCCATACTTACGTGTCTGCACCATAGTAACCACTGATGCACTAGTCGCTGGCGGCCATGATGCTCGGCTTCGAGCGGCTGATGAAGCCTGATGTGGCCGAGGAACTGGGTCTCGGGGAAGTGATGGACAAGTACTGCACGATCATGCTGCCGGAGGGTAAGACCCAGGAGGAGGTCCTGGTGGACATGATCCTCGGCTTCCGAGCAGCGGATGTCGCTCAACCGCCGCAGCCGGAGACATCCTCGCTGCACGCCGAGCACTCTGGTGAACCAGGTAACTGACCAATTCTCTCCGGCCTTTCCGGATATTCATGCCACAACAGAGGGGCAGGTCGGTGCTTGGATGGAAGATCCGCCTCAAGTCCGGGATCAAATCGAAGATGCGCTCGATGACATCACGACCGAGCAGGCCAAAATCCAAGAGATGGTCGCCGAGCAATTGAAGGCCGCCCAACAGCAACTCCAGCATCTTGATGGCCGGCTGCATGTGGAGAAGCTCCGGGTAGGTTTTACACAGCACATTCACATTACATGGGACTTATACAATAAAAACTAGGACGAAGTGAGAGCTCACACCGACCGCATCCACCTCCCTGTGCTCCCAAAAATACCCGAGCCAGGTGTGATCTCACCGGAGAACATGCCCCCAAACGTGCCAGTCCAAGCCCTGAATTGGTTGGACAGTCTCGGCGAATCGATGGCCGGCATGGATCTATACATCCAGGCAGAGGTGGATTACTGGCGGGCGGTGGACCGAGTGAAGGCGGCCGAGTTAGCGGTCTTGCAGCCAGGAGAAGCGCCGAGTGCCGCGGCGGGCTCTTCGCCACCCCGTCCTGTCTCAGAGTCGCATGATGGATAGTCGGGATGTCCCATTAGTGTACAGTCGTGTTGGCACCGGTATTTACATCTCGTGATATGACAGGGAAGGCTTTGATGTTCTTATGTGCACCGGCCGGCCGAATCAAACACCGGCAGAACGATTGGGCAGCAAGGCAGCTGGCTAGGCCAGACTGTCTGCTATACCTGTACAGTTATTGTGAAGATGAAACCGCCGAGCACATCAACAGTTCCATATATATTGTAAACACAGTGTAAGGTTATACAGCTACTCCGAGTCCATCCGCCAATCCGCCGGGGGAGCGTTTGTCCATGCATGTACCGCCTCACGCATATAGTAAGATAAGCACAAGCGCTCCTGGGTCGATTGCCGTACGGCATGAGGTATGCGACAGCCAGAAAATACCTCCATAGTGCCACTGTAGTATGGCATCTTCATTCCCAAAGTAGGATACTCCATATGCAAGGTCTTGTCTCCGCCGAGCGTGAGAATCATATCGTACCAGTGCTTCGCCGAGAGTACGTCTCGGTGAAGTGGACTGGCCCGGTTGGCAATCACCGATAAGGCGTTGAATGGCGTGTTCCATATCTCGGCGACGCTAGCGCGGTCCGGGTCGTTGCGCAGTGCATTGATCGACGCCACGCCACTTGCATAGAGGTCCGGATGGAGTATCTCGAGCATCGCCGAGAGGATGATATGGGGGTGCTCCATCGCCGAGAGCCACGGTCGGGCGAGCGAGGTCGGTTCCCTCAGCAGCCGCGATACCTGGGGTGGACCTGTAGTACCCTGTTGCGGATTAATACAACATATGATGATCAGTACGCCATGGATGCCCACCGTATGACCCTGCTGAAACCAGCCGGGCGAGGCAGACAAGCACGACGGCGGGAAGATTGGACATTCATCCGCATTGCGGTAGTTGTTGATATCTTGTCTCCACTTCTCGGTGGTGGTAGGGGGGTAGCGGAGGAACAGCGGTTCCAGTTGACCTGCGGTGTCCCATATGAACTGCTGCTTGATTGTTAACAACCAGTGTGATGTCTGCCGGGCGATCTCGCATACCTGGTAGTACGGTGTGATTACGCCGGGGAGATGCCACAAAAGAATCCGGCCGGCGCTATCCTCGATGGTCGCAGGCTCCTTGCACGCCTCGTACTGTACGTTCTCGGCTTCTTCATCGCTCGGTGTTGTCATCGGATAAGTCAATGCGTCCCATTCAACGCTCCCTCCAAGTGGAGTGTTAGCCAAGCTTACGATTGCGGTCAATGGAAGCTCACTTCGGTTACAATAAGCCTGAGCTAACATCTTGCCAGCATTCGTCGCCTGGCGTATCATATACACATCCAGGAAGAGACCTGGAAGTGGCTCGGGCTTCATCGCCTGGCCCTCCTGCATGCGAGACAGCCAGTGTAAATATGTCCCCTTCAGGTAGGAACGAAATTGGGTGCTGATCTGTGCGGTAGTCATGTTGGAGAGTGGGGGGGGGGATTGGAGAAGAGTTGCGCAACAAGTTTGCACGATGTGGAGGACCTGATGGGCAACATGTGGTGACCATGTGTTTGCCTCATGTTTGTAGGCATGTGATGTTGTCAGTGCTCAAGTGACCCCGGCTAGGTGCTGGTTCATGCATGCGCCATCTCATGTGATGTCACGTTGTCTGGATGATTGCCCTTAACAATTCTGGTGCCGATTTGGCCGGCAGGATCATTGATATGAGCCCCGGCCGGACCGTAGGAAGCCTATTTCTTTTGAGGCCTCCGGCCGGAACGTTGACCTGGTTGCCGGCCGGAACGCTGGGTCTGTGTCCGGCCGGACCGTAGGAAGCCTATTTTTTCGAGGCCTCCGGCCGGGACGTTGACCTGGTTGCCGGCCGGAACGCTGGGTCTGTGTCCGGCCGGACCGTAGGAAGCCTATTTTTTTCGAGGCCTCCGGCCGGGACGTTGACCTGGTTGCCGGCCGGAACGCTGGGTCTGTGTCCGGCCGGACCGTAGGAAGCCTATTTTTTTCGAGGCCTCCGGCCGGGTCGTTGACAAGGGGTCCGGCCGGAACGCTGGGTCTGTGTCCGGCCGGACCGTAGGAAGCCTATTTTTTTCGAGGCCTCCGGCCGGGTCGTTGACAAGGGGTCCGGCCGGAACGCTGGGTCTGTGTCCGGCCGGACCGTAGAAAGCCTATTTTTTTCGAGGCCTCCGGCCGGGTCGTTCGCCTGAGGTCCGGCCGGAACGTTACACCACAGGCCGGCCGGACCATTCCTAACCACCACCCTCCCTCCGGCCGGTTCGTTGCTGCCGGCGGCCGCTCCGAACGGTGGACCCGGAGTGCTCCGGCCGAGCCCGGGTCCACCGTTACAAACGGGCCAAATGCACTCCGGGTGGACCGTTCGAAACGTGATTTCCCACTCATTAGGCTCGGTGAAGGCGAGCCAGACGAAGAGTTGGATCAGCTGATGGCCAGTGAGATCGAAGGAGAGGGCGGAAAGAAGCGTACGAGCCCCACGAAAGGAACGGAGAAGGGGCGACAAGGTATGGGGCTATGGTCTTATCGGTTGCTGACTAGTCTGATACGGCATCAGCAGGCTCGAAGAGGAAGAATAACCCGTCGTCTGAAGATGATGCCAGCGACAATGGCAAGAGCTCGAAGCAGGTCAAGAAGAGAGCGAAGGTGCAGCATCCGGCCAAGGAGACAGCGGGGTCGTCGAGCAATAAGCCGGCTGATGACGAGGAGTCCGTCAAATCCGGTGAGTAAAGAAACTATATTTGTTCTCTGTTATCAACGACAGGTGGTTGCTTTGAAATGGCATCTGAGCAATCCGTACCAGTGGTTGTAATGTCACCTCGACACCAAAAGCGTGCAGGAAGTGCTCCGAGGGAGGAGACCGAGCTTACAGCTCGGCTCGGTGAGTCGCCCGTCCCTTCGACAAACAGAATGATTGTATTCAATTTACTACAAACAGGTGCGGGTGCGAAGGGTGCAAGGCCAACGCGGCGTGTGGCGCACAGCTCCGAAGATGACGACGGTGTTGACATGGAAGGTGTGGACAAGGAAGGAGCTGAACGGAGCGACCAATCCGACGGTAAGTTAGCAATTGTGGTGCAATGTGATGCTGAGTTCAACTAACTGTATAGGAGGCTCAACCGTGCCCCAGAGGCGCAAGCAGAGGACGGCCAAGGAGCGCGACACCAAAGGCACGCGCAAAACCAAGGCAACGGCGCTGCACAAGGAAACACTGGTGGTGGAGGAGGAATCTGACGAGGATGACTCGTTCGTACCAGAGGGTAGCCACAGCGAGCCTGAGGACAGTGATGGCGAGGAGCTGGAGGCTGAGGACAACGACGACGTACGCAAGATCTCAAAGTTGAGCCACAATCTGACGTGTTCTACAGATCATTGTGAAGTCCGAGCCGGAGGAGAAGAAGGTGAAGGCGAAGGGCAAGGCGAAGGGCAAGGCGAACAAGACGAAGGGCAAGGGGAAGGCCAAAGCGGCTGGAAAGGCTGGAGCCAACAAGGATGCCCCTGGGGACGACGATGATCCCCTTGCTGAGCCCATGATCAAGGCGTTGCTGCAGCGGGCTGTGCAAGAGTTCCGCCTTCACCTTGCGCTGGAGAACGCGTGGCCCCGCAACAAGGGAGGCCGCATCAAGAAGGACGAGGTCCCCGCTGATATCATCATGGCCATCAAGAAGAAGTACAAGGTGTTCAGAATGCCCGACTTCAAGGAGATGTTCGACGCTCGGTGGGACAACCAAGATGTTCAGGACGACATGACTGGCTACGTACGTTGCCAGTTTACTGTCCTCTCATGGCTCTTGACCGCTATGTCCATCAGGTCTACAGGATTGCTTCTCAGTTTTGTCAAGAGGTGAAGCAGAAGGCAAAGAGAGCAGTGGAGAGGGCTTTCCTCAACTTCAAGGTGTCAGACTTGGGGCCCAACGGTGAGAGGCTGAACTCGGTTGGCCGCGCAGAGAAGTTGCACAGGGCAACGGAGGCCCGCGTGAAGTTCCTGCGCGAGAAGAACATCTTCCACTACGGGGATGTGGACATGAGGGACCCGGACACTGATCCCGGTGTAAGTATTCTTCATAGGTTTTGCATGTTTGGGCGGATGATGACAATGTGCGCCAGGAATGGACGTACGCAGAGCACATGCCGTTCCACAACAACATCATTGGCGATGTGATTGCCCGCCAGTGGTGGCTGGGTCACAACCCCGAGGCATTGCGCGCGAGGAACCGTGACCGCTTTGACCTTAGCAAGCCTCTGCCGAGCAACCTCATAGCTCTGGCTTGCAGTGCGGTGAGTGGTTCTCAATGTGCATTGGGTGCCTCAGCTCATGCCCTATTAGGTCATGGTAGCGCTGGATGAGATTGCGAGGGGCGTCACCATCAACTTCGACGCAAAGAGCTACGCGCCAGAGTAAGTCCGTTGCTGCCATCTCGTTCAATGGGCTGACTGTCGGGCTGTAGGCACGATAAGGTCCAGGCTCAGATCGACAAGTACCAGAAGATGGCGAGCCCCAATCTTGCAGACAAGTACGAGGGTGCGGCGGCGTTTGTCAAGTCGATGAACGACACGCTGGCCATGAGCATACGGTGCGCCCTCACGAATTCCTCATACGTTGACTAACTATCTGTTTTGTCTCAGGGCCTCTGCGGGTTTGGGCGATAGCATTGGGGACGGCGGTGTTCAAGGCGCCGAAGATGGAGACGAGGACATGGATGTCAACGTCGTTCTTGGGCCCTGGAAACAGAGACAGCAGGCTGCCGCCGCCGGGCCGTCAAACAATGCTTGAAGGTGTCGTCATTCTGGGATGAAAGGTAAGTGACCAAAATCCTTACAGTGAGAACGCGCACTCAGTTGCTGGCTGGACTCAGGGAACCTGTAGAGAAGTCCGGTGTTGCATGTACAATGGTAGTATTATGTTTCTCCCCGTGTTGTCTTTGTCCGCGCCCTCTTCTGCCGTCTGCCATGCATTTGTACCACTACATTTTCCAGCAGCTTATCTCGTCTGTCTACTCACCAAAGCTGGAAGTAGTGTACACTACATTTGTATTGTTGTCCAAACCCGTATTCACGTATACCACAATTGTATTCAATGATCCCAATAGCTGGAAATGGGTGAAAGCAAGTTAGTTTGAAGCATTTTGAATTGGCTGAATAGCGCGTGAACAACAGTTGTTAAACTGTGTGAATCAAAGAAACAGTGTCCGAACAACGGTCTGTAATGGAACGGACTTTGCTGGGCAGCAATATGAAGCCCTCAAAAAGCTGTATAAATGGACCACAAAGCAGAGTAAACCAACCCGTCACACGTCAAAACTAAGCAGTACATCAATGCCAAAAGCATCTCAAAAGTGCTTTCTACAACAGGCAAAAGCACTCTCAATCAGGGTACTTGTGTTGAGGTCACTTTGGAGCTTGGGATCACTTTGGGGCTCCCAAAGTGCTTATAAGCCGTTGCAAGAGCATATGAAGTGCTTAATGATTTTGGCGGTTTTCCCTGATGTATCATCATGATGTCATAGTGATGTCATCAAGGAACGTGCTGGAACATCCTGGAAAGAACTGGAAGGTAGTGGAATGTTCCGTACAAGTCTAGAACAAATCATGTGCTACAGGTCTGGATCAAGTCTGTAAGAAATGTATGTAATATGTAGCAATGAAGAACATAAGTCCATAACAGGTAAAGGATAAGACCTATCCCGTAGTGTAACACCCAAAATAGTCGAAGTTCAACACAATGGAGGTTGGGTATATCGAGGTGGTGCATCCACCAGTTCTGCGCACATCGGTTCTATGTGGAAGTCCTCTTCCGATGTCGACGACATCGGGGGCGAAGCAATACGTGTCAGTGGTCGGGGTGGAGGAATTCCTTGCAGTCGATGCAAGTGTGCGGGAGGAGTAGGCATACGTCGAGGAGGTGCAATGAGGTCAGAAGGGATAAGACCCTGAAGAACACCATCAGCATCAGTTTCATCATTCGTCTCGTCATAATACGTGCCAATATGCCACTCATCCATGTAGTCCTCTGCGGCTCTGCCTCCTGATAGGTGTCGCACAATTTTGCGCGTGCTCCCGAGCGATATGCGACAGAGAAAGATGCATGCGCACCGAGTCGGTATATACCAGGAAGACAACCTCGTGGTATGGCATAGTACCGAGTCGTTGGGTATGGTGCAGGGGGAAGATGTCAGCGACAATGAGTGGTGCGATAACGAAGGGAATATGGTTCTGGAACATGGTGTTCGTCGACTAACTCGGCGAGGACTCTTGCTCCCCGCTGTGCCACGTTGCGGAGTGTTACGAGGTGCGACTCACTGAGGATATCAGCTGCGACGATTTCCATGAGCCGTCGACCGCGCATCGTCGGTGGTCCTATCTGGGGACATCTAGAGGCCGGGTGGCCCGCAGCCTGTCGTCGACACTTGGGGCAGAAGTACCGGTAACAATCGAGGGCTTGATGACACTCCTTGTTGTTACACCCGAGGAAACAAGGAGTGTTTGCGTCGACAAGTGGTTGAGCTGCCTCTGGAAGACACTCGTCAACACGTGCTTGTCATCCTAAGTATACAAGGTGTTGGTGATGGTCAGTATCGAAGGGTTGACCATTGGCGTGGAGGATGAGCTCAGGAACACGAGTATGTTCCAATGTCTCGAGCGCGGCGGTAAGCGTACCAAAAGCATCTCTTTCATACGCCTCATACTCGGCCAAGATATCCTCCTTCATATGCCTCCTGAGCGTAACCTCGGCTATGGTGTCAAAAGCGGTGACGAGGGCGTCGAGCCCGACTTGCTTTTCCTCGTCCGTCACATGAATCTCAGATTCTCAGCAGGAGGTTGTCCGAGCTGGTCGATTGTGACATCAGGTGTGAGGAACAGGTGTTGCACCATGTTCCAGTTGATGCAGGTATCAGGAGTTTCTTGGTCCTGGAAGAGTCGGTGGGATTCGGTTGATATTGGGATGGGGAGGAGGGGAGAAGGAGTGCGAACAGGCTCTAGTGCATAGCATGGGTGTACCCATGGGTGTCTGAGGGCATACCCATACCCATACCCACATGGGTCACATACCCATGGCATGGGTATGGGTTTTGCATGGGTATCATGGGTACCCTTGGGTATGGGTACCATCATGGGTAGATCTATGTGCAGTTCATGGTACTCATAATTTTGCATGATGGGTAACATGATTGGAAAGATATGGGGTGTGTTGATCAGTATCATACTGGCCAAGTGAGCTCAGACCAGACTCACAACTGGCTTGCCAATTGGATGAATAACCCCACAGAGCTGACACTGGGCCATGGAGATGGATGTGACTAGGGGCTGTTCTCTTTGAACAGTGTCCTGGACAGCCTGCAGTACAATGATGGGGCAGCAAAGCAGGACAGTTTTATGGTGCATATCTACTGCTACCACTTTGAGAACAACCCCACTGACTGCATGGCCAATCACAACATTGAAGTCAGAGTTTCCAGTTTTGCAAGCCAGGACATACATCAACTAGATGGGAGGCATCTACATGAGGGCAGTAGGCTGTTATGCAAGCAATTTATATACATGCAAGAACAATGGAGCAGAGAGGTCAATTGAATGGTCAAAGCAACGTAACATAGGACAAATCCATCCCAGATGTGACAAAGGATTAAAGAACCTGATAAACAGTGACTGTACCTTTATTTCCAGTACATATCACTACTTAGGTGGGGAGACCACAAGATTTGGGGGGTAGCAAGTCTGCATATACAAATGCACATCACAACACAGAGGGGATAGTGATGCCATGGGCAGAGCCTTTTGAAATTCACCATATCCCAATGGATCACCCCAATGTAGCAGGTTTACTGTGGGTCAACATTGAGCAGAAACTCAGGGTAGACAACAATTTAACTGAAACACAGGCAGGATGTGGCATTGTGCAATGAATATGAATAGTCTGCCACATAGACTAGCCTCAGAGAACAGGAGCATATTAGGTTGATTTACTAATCTTCATCACTGAATACTGCCTTATGTCACAGGAGTTTCACCAACATATGATAAATAGGGCTGGGGGATGAACATGACCAGCCCATGATGTGGACATTTTCATTGAGAGCTTAATGCATTGCTACTTAGTAAGTGACACAACTGGGACCATGATTTCTTATGAAGAGCATGATCATAGCCCTACTACATTGCTGAAATCCTGGATTTAGTGAATTAACTAACAATGCATCTATGCTAAATGTGAAACTGGAACTGCAGGTCTAGTGTTCATCTCAAAAGAGCCTTGACACAGTATCCATACTGATCCTTCTTATGCTATCAGGAGTGGCCATGTCACAGATGCCTAGCAAAAGATTAAAGTAAACAGTATCACTGGCTGTCCAACATGGACAATTACATGGTAAGATTCAGTCTGGTCATATTATGTATTTCAGCTCATGAATACATGGCACTGGAGTAGCTATCATTGTGAGTTAGAAAGATGAGGTCAGCATGATGGCACCCACACTGTAATGCACTTGTTGTCATCATTTTGACAACTTCAGCAGTCTATGTATACACAGCACAGACTATCTGACTAGCAGTTACCATATTCTACTGCTGGATTAGCACTGCAGTAGTCCATGGGTCAGATTTTGGCTACCCATACCCATACCCATGCATACCCATACCCATGACCCACATGGGTTATCCATACCCATTCAATGCACTAGTAGCATTCACAGACAAAGCAAGGCGTGCGCGACTCACTTGTACACAAATGAATCAAAGAACAAATTGGATATCTTGAGGTTTCCGCAAAGAGTGTTCTTCGCCTCGCTGGCTGGTAGCATGCAGGTCACCGGCAAGAAGGTTTCCATTGGGAATGGACATCACTTTTGTAGAAGGGCAACAGCACAAATAATAGCATCAGGAAAAACAAATATAACTTGTGAGACTTTCAAGACATCCAAAGGCAACCGAGGTACAAAGACAAGTCAAATTCTTGGTTTACTTGTACGAGGTATACAAGCTCTACCAATGCCTTTTATTACTTGTGTGAGAGACTAAAAGTATGTCTGAGCCGCTGCCCAGATGCCCCATGGATCCAGCTTGAATGTCTTTACCAAGTCTCTCAAGCTCCATGCACAAATGTCTTATTTACTTGTGTTCAAGTATCTTTTACTGTGTGGCTCTCCACCAAGTACATAATTTGTTTAAGCAATCCTTGATTTTTCCTCCCATGCGGGGACTGCAATAAAATCGTATTCGTGCACGCTCCTATAGTTGGTACAACAACAGACAATCTACATACAGCAGAACACAACAGGCTCCAGAACAACGTATAGTAGTACAAGTACAGATGGTACAGCAACGAGAACAAGAGAATGCAACAACAAAAATAGGTCATTCTTACCTCCAAGGACTAGGATGTGGGTATGGTGGTAGTAATGAGTGATCTAAAATGCCTTCAGACGTGTACTTCAGCAGTAAAAATGGCTCTCAAACCCTTGGAGTAGAGACAGTGAAGACGGCAAGCAGAGGCGATCAGGTGTCGGCAGCATCGGGCTCCGGAACAGGTTCGTCACCTGGGCCATGTCAGCTGTAGGGGCCGCGAGAGCGACCAGGTGTGTACATACCCTCACGTTCAAGTTCATCTGCATCGACTTCTTCCTCATCATCGCGGGCCCTCTTGCTCGAGGATGACGCTGGAGCATCGGCATCCGTACGTGCTGTACCACCGATTCAGGTCAGTGATTGCTGTACTACAACATTCCTGTCTGCTTACACTGTGTCTCATTAGTTCTCCCTTTTGACGACGACAGT